AACAAACTTTCCCATTCTTCAAGTCCCTATCTCTTGTAATGAAGCATATCCCCCTGATTGAAACTGATTTCCAACAAGCTTACGTTATATTTGAAGGTTTGCTGAATTCATTCTGATACATTGGCTTTAATGATAGTCTTCCTGCCTGCGTTTGGTACAATCAAATGCTCTGAGAAACTTGAACTAATTGTAGTCTTTTCCCAAGCTGGGGGCTTATCTCTTGTTAGTGAAAGAACTTCAGGATTTCAATGAAAACTAATTGATATTGACACATGCTTTGATCATATGCGGCAAGTTTTCACATGAACAATGCATATTAGCGCAGACGATAATTCACAGTTTGGCTGATCTGTTGAAATTTTATGTACCATTTCACCTATTAATTCATGATTTCTTTCACACATTCCATCACTAAAAGGGCTGTTGAGTGGACTATTCCCTATTCTGCTGCTGTATTCATAGCTGTTATGTCCATATTTACAATTGTTTCTCTAAATCCATCTATCAGTGAGAAATCTTGTTGGTCATTTGTACTTACTTGATATTTTGGCACAGTTCTAAATGTCTTAAACTTAAATACCAGCACAGATTGGGGAATTTCCAAATGAAATTTCTGCAGTTCTGAATTCAATCTATTGAACTTGATTATGTCCTCTTGTGTGGAACTATCTTCACTCTTTCTCACATGGGAGGCGATGGCTTTGTGGCGTTATCATTGGACTATTAATCCAGAGACCCAGGTAATGTTCTGGGGACCTGGGTTTAAATCGCACCATGGCAGACAGTGAAATTTTAATTCAATAAATGTCTGTAATTAAGAGTTTAATGATGACTGTCAATTGTTGGGAAAAACCCATCTGGTTCACAAATGTCCCTAGGGAAGAAAACTACCAACTTTACCTGGATTGGCCTACATGTGACTCCAGACCAACTGGAATGTGTGGTTGATAGTCAGTAAATGCCAGTCTGGCCAGTGATGCCCACATCCCGTGAATGAATGAAAAACAAATGTCAAAACCTGACCATGCGTCATAAGCAGTCAGTAAATCATTGTTTTGATAAGTTTTATCCATGAAAGTTAACAATCTGTCCAAACTTTCATCTGTGTTCAAATTCATCATGTTCCAATTCTAAAGAAAAATGGTTTCTTATCCTGCTTTCATAAGGTAGAGAAAGAGCTAGGGCTAGTCTTTTGGTAGAGAAGCAACCAAAGTCCACAGAGTTAGGTTATTCTTCCACTGATCATGCAGTTCACTTTCATAAAATAGGGGTGAACATATTTTATATTCTAATTCAACCACTGTCTGCCACCAGTGGTATACACCAAGAGTTAAATGCTCTTAAACAAAGTCCAAGCATACACTGTTAGGTCACAGCTCTATTTCAACCAACCATCACACATCATAAAACTAAGTCACTGCCAGGTTCACAGTGCTATATGTACATTTGAATACTTTTGGCAAAAACAAAAAAAATAACAGAAATGTCTGCCTGTTCCTCAAACTGAAGAATCTCCTAACACTACTGCTCTTCTACTCTTCTCCCCTCCTATACGATTGAAATACCTGTGGTTCCACTGACTTGGATGTGACAGCATTCCTTGAAGAGCCATTAACTCACCAGTGTTAAATGCAAAAAAAAACTATTAGTGAGAAAGATTGTCGCAGGGAACTCTTACACAATCTGCCTGGTGCTCTTGGACTGCTTGGTAGTCACCCATTCCTGATCTGCCTGCACATCCTCATGTTGTGGTGTGACCACTTCCATAAACATGCTATCCACATCATCCTTTTTGATCGCAGGTACATAATAGTTACTCACGCGTAAGTTCTAAAACCTGAAGCTCAAGCTTGTCCTGACATTGACAACTTCTGCAGAAAACCTCCCACACTGCACAAGCTGCATATTCCACTCAGCTAAGCTCCCTGTCACATTTTAATTGCAGAGACTATTTATTACAAGTGGGATATCTTACCAGTTACTCACCAATAGCTCCTTCTGCTGCACCAAAATAAGATCCAAATACTGGATGGTGAAGGAAGTAAATGGTAAAAACACATCCTCCGCACATGACCTAATTCATCATAAACCAAACTGTTTCTGCTTGAAATCTGCTGGCTGTTTGCAAGCTGCACAGAGACCTGTGTTTACTCTGTCTTGGGATGAAAGAAACTTATTTTCTTCTTATATAATCTGCCTGGTGTTCCTGGACTGCTTAGTAGTCACCCACTCCTGATCTGCTTACACATCCTTAAGCTCTGGTGTGACCCATAAAAGCCTCATAAAAAAAAATTAAATGATACCTACAGAACACACTTTTAGAAATATATTGACATTTAACTATTCACTACTCACCAAATGCACTCTGCTTGAAGTGTCCACTTCACATGCACTGTTAGACACATATATTTGATGAATTATGGTAAATGTAAGGTTTGGATAACTCTTGAGTTGTAAAGAGTTTACCACATGACTTCCTGGAAGTCAAAAAGAATTGGGCATTATCTGCTTTGTAGAAATATCATGTGACACTGTGGAGATTATGAGCCAAAATTTTTTGATATTTACTCATGAGCTGTGGGTGTCATTGGCAAGGCCAACATTTATTGCCTAATGGCTAGTTAAGAGTCAACCACATTGCTGTGACTGTGGAGTCACATGTAAGCCAGATTGGGTAAGGATGGCAGATTTCCTTCCCTAAAGAATAATAGAGAACCAGATGGGTGTTTATAACCATTGTTACATGTTCACCATCACGCTAGCTTTTTATTCCAGATTTTTTTAATTGAATTAAATTTCACCATCAACCATGGTGGATTTCAAACTCATGTCCCTGTGGGGTTGTGTTTCAAACAACGACCAAAATCAATGAGTGGCGAAAACAGCCTCTTTATTGAGCATCCGCAGTAGCACAGTTCGAGGTGGTGATGAATCCGGAAGTACAGTTTTTATAGTAGCCTTTTTATACACAGTTCTTACATATATTAAAATTCTATCACTATGGCGTTAAACAGTTTTGTCTATTGTGCACAGAAATTTGTGTGACATCTGTCCTGGGGAACCAGGAGATTGTTTAAACATTTGCTAAGTGCTGGCTGTTACTCAGATTAGAGTATCTGTCCGGTCTGCTTGCATAATTAAGAGGTGTGAGTCCTTTTATCTTTTAAGTTAGCAAATGTTAGTAAAAATACGAGACCCAAACAATCTAAATATGTTAGAAATTATACATACACTTGATAAAAGTATAAAGGATATTAAACTGATTACTGCTGCTGGGTCATGAGATTTTGTTTACTATTTGTCGGTGTGAGTTTCATTCATTCATGCTATTTCACAGAAGCACAGTTTTGATAAAAACTTTCTTAAAGAGGACAGCGATCCTATTCAATATATATTTTAACAGGTACATGCTGGTGGAAGAAACTTGTTTGACTTCTGCAATCTATTCAAGCCCGAGAGATGGTTGCTAAGGGGCTGATTAATATTATAATCTTTTCATAGTTTCGGGTGGGTAGTGGAGGCACAATGGCAGTGAGGGTATTGTTTCTGAATAGGTTAGTAGTCTTTGATATTTATTCAGAGGTAGCTTTTGATGTAAATAGGTCTGATAAGGGTTGAAGTTGTGAAGAAGTAGTAATGGGTTTAGAATGAATGTTTTAATTTAGTCTATCTTGCAGCAATAAAACGCACTACAAAAATCATGGTTTTATGAATGAATGAATGAAAACGCATTATTGTAAACAGCGAGTTAGCAAAGAGTAAATGAATGAATAGGAATGTGGCATTAGTAAATATAGAATGAATGGTAATGTAGTATAAGTGAATATAGCGAGGTGGTAAATGAGTTAGTAAAGAGATCTATAATACATAATTCATATCTTCAAATAGTTAACCTAGTGGTTCAGATTACTAGTATGGTGGCCGTCACCTTTGCCCCTTTTATCAGAGAAAATGGGTTTTATTGCTTTAGTTATTGGACCATCAGACTCAGATGAAAAACTAAGGATCTGTGCTGGAGATAGTAGGAACTGCAGATGCTGGAGAATACGAGACAACAAGGTGCAGAGCTGGATGAACACAGCAGCCAAGCAGCATCGTAGGAGGGTCTAGGCCCGAAACGTCAGCCTTTCTGCTCCTATGATGCTGCTGTGTTCATCCAGCTCTGCACCTTGTTGTCTAAGGATCTGTGCTGTTGATTGCCTAGCAACAGCCCTTAGATAGAAGTACTATGTGTTTTTTTGCAGTTCAGCCCCGAATATACTAGCTGGAGAGGTTTTTCTGAACAAAAACAGAAGTTGCTGGAAAAGCTCAGCAGCATCTGTGAAGAAAAAAATCAGAGTTAACGTTTTTTGAATTCATTCAACGTATGTTCGCTTTGCCAGCTGTGTCAGCATTTATTGTCCATCCCTAATTGTCCTTGAGAAGGTTTCTTCTTGTACTGCTGCATTTCACTTGGTGCACGTACATCCACATTGCTGTTAGGTGGTGAGTTTGAGGATTTTGACTCAGCAACAGTGAAGGAAAGGTGATCAATGGAAACTTGCAGGTGAAAGCATTCCCAATTATCAAAAATAAAGGAAATCTCTGTCTCTCAATGAAATATTTGTGAATTCTGAAAGTTTCAAATATCAGAGCTCCTAACTGTTACCCACCTGAATATGGAACCTGGTTTAAAAATCATCTGTCATTCTACAATTGACAGCTATCATATCTCATCAACAGGATATCAAATGAACTGTCAGAAGTCAACCCATTCTGTATTCTGTACTTCAATCCTTGAGCCACAGGGGCTTTGTTCCATTTCTCATTTTTTCCCTCACCTACAATACCTGTAAAGTGCTGTGACATCTTGTCCTGTCTGTATCGGAATGTGTTGTGCTTGGGATAAAGCCAGATACTGTTGAATCCTGCATGGTAACTTACTGGGAACCAGTTTTGCCACTCACTGTAAGAATGCATTTTCCTTTAATAATTCCTGCACCAGGCCCATAATCTTGAATACTAGAATTAGAATTAGGTTTATTGTCATATGGACTCACATCACGGCAGTGAAAAGTTTACAAAGTCACATTTACTGTACAGATGTGTTATTACATACTTCTGGAGCACATTGGACTGGAACCAGGCCTCCTGGCTCAGAGTTAGGGACAATGATTAGGTTGTGTGGTTTCCTGTCTCAATTACCTTCCCAGACAGTGCATTCCAGCTGCCATCAGCCTCTTAGCGATAAGGTATTTCCTGTCAGCCTCCTCTCACTTTAAAAATTATCTTCCCTTTGTAATTCCCCTCCAATCGTCTGCAAGAACATTCTGAATAACAGTGAGCCCATTGTTAAACACTGGGCAGTACAGTGGCGCATGGTTAGCATCGCTGTCTCACAGCGCCAGCACCCAGGCTTGATTCCAGCCAGGGGTCACTGTCTTTGTGGAGTTTGCACGTTCTCCCCACGTCTGCAAGGGTTCACTCCAATTTCCTCCCACAGTTCAAAGATGTGCAAGTTAAATGGATTGGCCATGCTAAAAATTGCCCCGTAGTGCGCAGATCAACCATGGTTAAAACTCCATGTGCGGTTTGAGAGATAGGTCTTGGTCGGATGCTCTTCGGTGGATGAGTGTGGACTTAATGGGCTAAATAGCCTTTTTCTGCACAGTGGGTTTCTAGGATTCTACAGGAGTCACTGGACTCGAGAAGTTAGCTTTGCTTTCTGTCCACAGAGCTTTTCCAGCAGTTTCTGTTCCAACCCTCCCTTCTCATTCCAGTTGCATTGGACCTAACCCGAACAGTCCTCAGAGATCAAGTGGCCCCGCCCAGTCAGCGCAGAACATGCACAATGGGCGGAACCTAGCAACGTCATACGCAAGGTTGCGTGCGTGCGACGTCACGGACGTCGGGCCGACGGGCCGTGCATGAGTGTTGGGGGAGGGATCTTGACCGGAGGAGTCCAGGGGGTTGTTATACCAAGCGGCAACGGCCGCCGGCGGCTGGACTTGGCACTGAGCGTCCTGTGTACTTCGATACGATCGATAATAGATCACCTTGTTGATTTTACTGGGTCGCGGATAATTGCCGTTGCCCTCGCCGCTTTCATCGCCATGCCTGCTCGCTGCGTCCGACGGGTTTTGGCTCCGTGTGTTCGTGAGTATCTGACATTTGGTTCCGGATCACGTTCTACCCCTACTGAAGAGAATTTTTGTACTTTCTTTGTGTTGCAGGGGTAAATTCCAACTCGTAACTTGCGTTATGAGGTTTAATATGCCGTACAATACAATCCGCCATGTGACAGGCATTAAATTGCAATCGAAAATATAAAAGTTGGCATTGACCTACTAGACCATAGGGCTGCTCTCTCATTGGGGAGAGAGACGACTGGTGGTGAGTTGAACCTGAGGGTCACTACACTTCAGGGAACGGGTGAGTATGAGAAAGTGAGCCCATCATGGTCACTTTAGCCAATGCAGGGATTGAACCTATGCTTTTGGCATCATTCTGTATTGTAACCTAGCTAATGGGCAACAACAGCTGTGGAGGCCATCTGGTGGTGGTCAGTGAATCAGGAGATGACTTAGTTCCTGCATGATTCCTATCGTCTGACATGTTATAAGACCATAAGACATAGGAGCAGAAATTAGGCCATTTGTCCCACTGAATCTGCTCCGCCATTCAATCATGGTTGATAAATTCCTCAACCCCATTCTCCTGCTTTCTCTCTGTAACTCTTGATCCCCTTGATAATCAAGAACCTATCTATCTCAGTCTTAAATGTACTCAATGACCTGGCCTCCACAGCCTTCTGTGGCAGTGAATTCCACAGATTCACCTCTCTCTGGCTCAAGTAGTTTCTCCTTATTTCCGTTCTAAAATAGCCACAGCATTTATATAGTTAGTCCAATTCTGGTTCTGGTCAATAGTAATTCTGCTTCACTGACTACTTTTTCTTTTCTTTTCTTTGTGTTGGTTTGTATGTGTGTGGAAATATGAAAAAGGTATAGAGTTTCAGTTATATGTGAAAAACATCAAGCCAACTGTGTTAATTGACCCCCCAGTGAAAATATGTAAGATAAAACAGTCTAAAGTTAAAAATCAAATGCTGCAGATGTTGGAAATTTGAAATAAAACAGAAAGCGCTAGAAAGATTTAGTGGGTCTGGCAGCATCTGTGGAGAGAAAAACAGTTAATGCTTCAAGTCTGGTACACCTTCGGAACTTCAGAAATTTATAGAAGAAAAGACTGATCGGTCTTTGATGGCTGATCTGTTGCTATGGCGGAAATTGTAGGGAAGACTTAAGTTTCCCAAGTTACTGGGTATTTCAACAAGTGCAAAGCTTAAAAATATTCCTTTTGTTTTCAGGGAATGGCTCACTCAATTGTTCTATTGATCTGTGTTCCAAGACTGACTGATCTTCAAACTGAGTTTTAGTATCCTAATGAACGCACTCAAAACTGTTGACTGATTGTGATTCTGCATTTGGGAAGCGTAGTTGACTTTTTGCTCTGCCTTTTACAAGCATGGGCTGTTTTAGTACATCGTGTACCTTAACAGTTGTGAACAATTAAGAGTGTGCTGTAAATTCTGTCAGCCAATCATTGCGACTTATAGCCTGCCTACCTGGCATGACATATCACCAGTACTGAAGTTTGTATACAATGTTCCTCCATTGTTTCCTACCAGAAAGATGCTGCTGTCCATCCAAAAAGACTTTCCATTTATCAACAATTGAGCAATGTTGTCTATGAATCAGTTTCCATTTCAGCTTCTCGAGTCTCTGAATATAATAATTTGCTAAATTGAAATAGCTTCCTAATAAATTTTCTCTGTACTTGTCCATGGCCTGACCGGTGTCCTAAGGTGCCGTGCCCAGAACTATACCCAATACTCTAGTGAATACAAGAGCTTTGTAAATATTTACCACAACTACTTTGTATTTATATTCATTGTCTCTGTTTACCAATTATTCCATGTATTTTCTTAATTGCTTATCAAACTCTTCTGTTGCTATTAATGTTTCATTAAACTGCAAAATCAGGTCCTTCTGCCTTTCATCTCCCTCAAAATTGTGTTGTTCAGTTGATAACTACCTTGTAACCTCATCCACTGCTTTGAGATTTCCGAGTTCCTTTAATTCTCATTTCCTGTGCATTTCCAATTTTAATGGCTCCACCATTGACAGCTTCCTAGGCCTAAAGTTCTGTAATTTCCTCACTCAATCTCACTACTTCTTCTTTTAAGATGTTACTTAATCTATCTCCTTGATAAAAGTTTTTATTTGTCGCCGTCCAAATATCTTCTTGCTTCACTTGGATTTTGATAATGTTTCTATGAAATAATATGGGGATGGTTTGCTCTGTTAATGCACCTTATTGTCATGTTGCTTTGCCATATTTTACCCTGAAAGCGCATCACTTCAAATTTATCTCTATTAGGTCGATCTGCCATGTTTGCCCATTTTACCAATATGTCTAATACTATGCCCCCACCGCATACAACATTCACAAATTATATATTATTTGCAACCTTTGCATTGTACTCCCCGTACCCGCGTCCATATCCCTTCTGTAGCACAAGAAGAACAATGGGCAGAATACAGGACACTGGGGCATCCTGGAGCACTCTGTGTTTTTTGCATCTGTCAGATACAGTCTATCCTTGTCAAATGTTTGTCTTGTATCTCTTTGTCAGTTAGATATTCAAGTACCCATCCTCCCTTCAATGCCATGCGCGTCAGTTTTCCAAATGTGCCTGTTAATACATAACGGTGAGACCCTGGTATAGTGGTAATGTTACTGAACTATTATACTAGAGACCAAGGCTAATGCATGTACTGCAGAGATTCAAGAAGGTACTTCCCCACCATATGTTCAGGGGCAATTAGAAATGAGCCTTAAATGCTAACCTAACCAGCGATGCGCATGTCTATGAATGAATACAGAAAACATGATGGAATGCTTTTTGATGTCCATTATGTAAAACAGCTGGCTTGATCAACCTTCTGAATTCACTGAACAATCAGGTCTTTCACAAATCTGGCTGCCTCTTATTAACTGATACTTTTCCAAGTGAGAATGAATTTTGTACTTGATAATGTCTACAGTAGTTTACCTGTTGCTCACATTAAACTGACTGGCTGAACTATCCTGATTAGTACCCCTATCCTTTTACTTGAAAAGAATATAAGCTTTGAAATCCTCTAATTCTCTGACACCATTCTCATAACAATAGTATACTGAAATTTTGTGGTAAGAGGATCTATGACCTCCACCCCATTTTCCTGCAGCAACTTTGGATGTACAGAGGTTGCCTGACTTTTGAACATCTGACTTATGTACACTCATGCTTATGATCATATAAGTTTTAAAATTTTAGTTTTAAAATTTAAAGACCTGACGAACATTTTCTGTACTTACAAATGGCTGCTTTCAATTGTACCACATTGTGCTCTGTCTTGAAAGTGGACTCTAGAATAGAACCCATTCACAACCCGGGGCCTGCTTTGATTCCATTTGGACAAGGTAACTTATTAAGTTTAAATCATGCAAGCAAAGTTAGGGTTAAAAACAAGGAAAATGGTTTTACCTAACATCTCTGCTTCCCTTCTGTAGCATTAACTCAGCCTCTCCTATGAGGACAATTACATCTCAAGTTCTTTAGTGGTTATTGTAAATTTGTGTCCTCTGGTGCTGACCCATTTCCCAAAGGAAATATACAAATAAGGAGAAATTATCTATTAGGTCTTCTCTCATTGTCCTCTGCTCCAAAGAGGACTATCCTAACTCATTTAAGAAAGGACTTAAATGAAATGTGTTGGAAGCAATTTAGAAAAGGTTCACTCGACTGATAGCTGGGCTGGAGCGATATCTTAGGAGGAAAAGTCAGGCTGGCCCTGTATCCATTGAGGATTAGAAGAATAAGAATTGATCTTATTGAGACATACAGGATCCTCTGAGGACTTGACAGGATGCGTGCTGAAAGGATGTTTCTCTTTCGGGGAAAATGTAAAACTTGGGGATTTAAAAATACGGTGGAGATGACAAGAACTTTTTTTTTCTCTTGATAAGTGTCGAGTCTATGAAAGTTTGTTCTCTGTGGAGGTGGAGTCATTGCCCATATTTGAGAAACAAATAGATAGGTTCTTGACAAGCAAGGGAGTCAGAGGTTTTTGGGAGTAGGTGGGAATCTGGAGCTGAGACCGTAATCAGATTGGCCGTGATATCCTAGAATGATAGAGCTAATTGCAAGGATTATTCACGTCTTGTTTCCCTTGTCATTAAATCTTGGTAATGTTGCTCTTGTAGGGCATTATAATTGTAATTATAGTGTAATAGGTTTACATTAGAAACTTCCAAATTAACTTACTTTGAATATGTTTATGTAGTGGAAGTATAGAAGTAGGGTTAGAGTGAGAGTTAATTGAACCAGTGTAGATCGGTGTAAGTTTAAACAATGCATTCAAGTGAAGCCCTCTTTTTAGCCACAGTGATCAACAAAGGAATTCAAATTCCTGAATTCTAATGAAGCAAAGACAAGCGTCAAATGGGATCAAAATGGAGAATAACATTAAAATAACCGATTTTAAAGGCAGTCTATGGGACTGCACATAAAATTGCCCAAAGGTTGAGTATATGAATGCACAGATCAAGTTAAATTATTACTAGACAGAAAGAGTAAGAATAGGGATCATTCTGCAGATGGCAGGCTGTAGTGGGGTAATTCAAGGCTTAGTTCTAGGCCAACAACTGTTTGCAAGCTATATAAAAGATTTGAATGTTGGGACCAGTGTAATATTTCCAGATTTGCAGATGATACCAAACTGGACTGAAATGCAAGTTGTGGGAGGGATGCAAAGAGACTTAAAGAAGATTTCGACACACTGAGTGAATGGGCTAGACATGTCTGATGGAATATAATGTAAATATGAAGTTATTGACTTCGGTAGATAAAAACAGCAAAGTAGAATTTTTTTTAAATGATGAGAGATTGGGAAGTGCGGGTATCTAGAAGGATTTCGTACTTTTCCATGGGTCACTGAAAGATAGCATGCAGGTACAGCAAGCAATTAGAAAGGCACATGATTTACTGGTATTCATTTCAAGAGAATTTGAGCTCAGGGGTAAACAAGATCTTGTTGCTGAGAGATAGTAGGAACTGCCGATGCTGGAGAATCTGAGATAACAAGGTGTAGAGCTGGATGAACACAGCAGGGCGAGCAGGAAGGCAGACAGGTCAAAGAGACGGGGATGGAGCTAGTAAAGGTGAGTGTAGGTGGGGAAGTCCTTCACAAGCTTCAAAATCTCCCCTCCCCCCTACCGCATCCCAAAACCAGCCCAGCTCGTCCCCGCCTCCCTAACCTGTCCTTCCTCCCACCTATCCCCTCATCCCACCTCAAGCCCCACCCCCATCTCCTACCTACTAACCTCATCCCGCCCCCTTGACCTGTCTGTCCTCCCCGGACTGACCTCTCTCCTCCCTACCTCCCCACCTACACTCATCTTTACTGGCTCCATCCCCGCATCTTTGACCTGTCTGCCTCCTCTCCACCTATCTTCTCCTCTATCCATCTTCTATTCGCCTCCCCCTCTCTCCCTATTTATTTCAGAACCCCCTTCCCCTCCCCCATTTCTGAAGAAGGGTCTAGGCCCGAAACGTCTGCCTTCCTGCTCCTCTGATGCTGCTTGGCCTGCTGTGTTCATTAAGATCTTGTTGCTCTTGTGCAGAGCCTTGGATTTTCATGTAAAGTTCTGGACTCCCTTATATAAGGAAGGATATACTTGCCATTGTGAGAGTGCAATGGAGGTTCTCCAGACTAATTCCTGAGATGGAAACATTGTTTTTTGTGGAAATTGTGTATGTAATCTCTTCACTGTTTCGAAGAGTGACAAGTAATATTGAAACTTAGAAAAGTCTTACAGGGCATGACGGGTTCCTGGCTGGTGACTCTAAGGGACATAATCTCAGGATAAAGCCATATAAGACTGAGTTAAGGAGGGATTTCTTCATTGAGTGATGAATCTTTGGAATTCTTGACCCCAGAAGACTGTGGAAGCTCAATCTTTGACCAGGTTCAAGTCAGAAATTGGATTTCTCGAGACAAATGACATCAAGGCATAAGGAGATTGTATGGGGAGATTGTTTTGAGGATGATCAAACATGATCTAGAATGGCAAGGCAGGCTTGATGGGGTGATCAGATTACTTGTGTGCCTGCATTCCTATGTTTTCCTAGAATTTCATCCAATGCTGTTGTTTTTGTTTATCTGATTGGAACAGCGTGGAGAAAATTTCTGAGCTGAATAATGGCAAATATCAGGTGCCACATAATCCTGAAGAGTTTTGATAGCTAGATAATCAGAATCTGGCAGGATGTGTTGAAACCAGAGGGCACAGTTTTAAGATAATTACCTAACGAACCAGAAGGGAGTTGGCTGAAATCCACAGCCTGGTAGGAAAGTGGCAGCAGATTCAATAGTAAGATTCAAAAGGCAATTGGAAACGTACATGAAGAGGAAGAATTTGTGGGGAAAAGAATGGAAATGTGGAACCAATTGGATAGTTCTTTTAAAGACCATAATGGATTGAATGCTGTCCTTCTGTGCTGTAAGCTTGTATGACTAACGTTTGTGTTCTCCCTTGTACAGGATTCCTTTCAACAGCTGCAGATTCTTGCCTGGCGAGCACAGAGCTGCTTCAGAAGCGCAGCCAGTTATTTGACAAGGAGAAAGACAGACAACGAGCCCTGATCCCAAGGATTGAGAAAATTGAAGTTAAACATGTGGGGACACCTGATCCTGGAACGGTCTTCATCATGAACAAAGGCCTATCCACTCCCTACAACTGTGCCATGCGTAAGTAGGTGCTTGATAAATTAGTAAACAATTTAGGTTTTGAGAGTTTCCATCAATGGGTTGCCCAAGGTAGCAGATAGGGAGGAGCAAAGTCATGGTGATATTTAAATGAGAGAATAAGAAGTTTGTGCTGAAGGCATAGAGGTAAAGTGATGAAGCAAAGCAAAACTTGTTGTGGGTCAGCTGAGAGTCCTGTAATCGGTGAGCTTGACGTGTTGTGTGTCAGCAATAGAACAGAGTTTTACTTGTGCTGAAGATTACAGATAATTTGAAGTTGAGAGGCTGCTCAGGAAAGCATTGGCATTGTTAAGGCTGAGGATGTGCTTGGTATGACTGCATCTGAGAGAGATTTTGACCCTATTGACTCTGATTTTGCTAGGGCTTGTTGGTGCAAAGTTGAAGGTTGCATGGAGATGGGAGGGAAACCTTCATTGGCTCGTGTTCCAACAATACCTCAAAATTAACATTTTCATTCTTGTTTTCTGATGGTACTGACACCAAATCAAGGGAACTTTATTAAATTAAAACAAATGCTTCAATTCACTTCGTAGCCACTTCTTTTAAAGACTCCAGGATGAAATCCATGAGGACCCAAGCACTTGTCAGCATACAGCTCTGGAGTTGCTCAGTGTCACTTCCCTGGTAATTGATTTTCCTGAGTTCCTCCCTTTCTACCATGTCTTGATTTATTTATGCTTCTGGGATGTTATTAATATTCTCTGTAATCAAGACAGATGCAAAAAACCTGTTTAATTCAGCCACCATTTCCTTTCTTTCCATTATTAATTCTCCAGACTGACTTTCTATCGGCCCAACATTGATTTGGTTAACTTTTTTCTTCTTTAAATATTTATAGAAACTATTACTATGTATTTTTCTACTTCTAGCTGGCTCTGTCTAGCTTTTAGAGAAAATCATACTCCAGTTTTGCCCTCTTTATTAATTTTTTGATCTTTCTTGCTGTTTTTTATATTCTGCTCAATCTTCTGACATGCTTCTTGTCTTTATCCAGTTTTGTTTAGTCTGAAACTGTCTTATTACATTTCTAGTTAACCCACGGGTAGTGAGTCTGTCATTTGTATTTTTCTTTGTGATTGGAATTCATGTATTCCGTATATTCTGAACTATTCTTTAAATACTTGCCACTGCATCCCTAATGACCTATCCTTTAAACTACTTACTTTATGCAGCTCTGCTTTCATGTCCTCACAATTGTGGTTATTTAAATTTTAAAAATTAATTGCAGACCCCATCTCTGTCTCTTCAAACTGGATGTAAAATTATGATCATTGCTACCTAGGGGCCTTTCAGTATAAGATCAATGAGTACTCCTATCTCATTGCGTAACACCTACTCTAGTATAGTTTGCTCTCTAGTCAGCTCCAGAACATACTGTTCTAAGAAACTAACCTGAAAACATTATGTGAACTCCTCAACCTGGCTACCTGTGACTATCTGACTTTTCTGTTGTTACGTAGATTAAAATTTCCCTTGATTATCACTATGCCTTTTTGACAAACTCTCATAATTTCTTTAAAGACTGAAAGAACTGCTGGAAATAAAAACAAAAACATGAATTGCTAGAAAAGCTCAGCAGGTCTGGCAACATCTGTGGAGAGAAATCAGAGTTAATGTTTCGATCCAGTGACCCTTCCTCAGAACTGGACCCGCGATACATTGACTGATTTCTGTCCACAGATGCTGCCAGACTACTGAGCTTTTCCAGCAATTTCTGTTTTTATTTTTCATTATTTCTTTATTTATACCCCATGCTAATGTTAAGAAGTCATAACGACTTCCACAAATGAATTTCTTCCTATATCATTCTACCCCAAACTGTTTCTGCATCTCGGTTTTCTGAACTTAGGTTCAGAACTTAGGCAAACCATGAGTGGCTGGGCAGTAGTATTACTGATTGGGCTGGTTGGGTCCTAAAGGACATAGCTGCTAGACTGGGTCTGTGCCAGGTGGTGAGGCAACCAACAAGAGGGAAAAACATACTTGACCTCCTCCTTACCAATCTGCCAGCTGCAGTTGCATTTGTCTATGACAGTATTGGTAACAGTGACCATCGCACAGTCCTTGTGGAGACAGAGCCCTGCCTTCACATTGAGAATAACTTCCATTGTGTTGTGTGGCACTATCACACAGATCTAGCAACTGAAGATTGGGCATCCATGAGGCGCTGTGGGCCAAGAACAGCAGCAGAATTGTGCTCCACACAATCTGTAACCTCGGCAAATTCCTCACTCAACCATTAACATCAAGTCAGGGGATCAACCCTAGTTCAATGGAGAGTGCAGGAGGGCATGCCAGGAGCAGCAGCAGGCATACCTGAAGATGAGGTATCAATCTGGTGAAGCCAACAAACAGCAAAAGCAGCAAGTGATAGACAGAGCTAAGCGATCCCAGAACCAATGGATCAGATCTAAGCTCTGTAGTCCTGCCACATCCAGTTGTGAATGGTGGTGGACAATTAACCAACTCACTGGAGGAGGAGGCTCCACAAATATCCCCATCCTCAATGATGGAAGAGCCCAGCGCATCAGTGCAAAAGATAAGGCTAAAGCTTTCGCAGCAATCCTCAGCCAGAATTGCTGAGTAGATGATCCATCTCGGCCTCCTCATGTGGTCACCAGCATTACAGATACCAGTCTTCAGCCAATTCGACTCACTCCACGTGATATCAAGAAATGGTTGGAGATGCTGGCTGCTGCAAAGGCTATGGGTCCTGACAACATTCCAGCAATAGTACTGAAGACCTGTGCTCCAGAACTTGCTGCTCCCCGGCCAAGCTGTTCCAGTACAGTTACAACACTGGTATCGACCCGACAATGTGGAAAATTGCCCAAGTATATCCTGTACACAAAAAACAAGACAAATCCAACCTGGCCAATTACTGCCCCATCAGTCCACTCTCGATCATTAGTAAAGTGATGGGAGGTGCCATCAACAGTGCTGTCAAGTAGCACCTGCTCAGTGATGCCCAGTTTGGGTTCCACCAGGGCCACTCAGCTCCTGACCTCATTACTGCCTTGGTTCAAACATGGACAAAAGAGCTGAATTCCAGAGGTGAGGTGAGAATGACAGCCCTTGATATCAAGGCTGCATTCGACCGAGAGTTGCATCAAGGAGCCCTGGCAAAACTGGAATCAATGGGTTGGTTTCAGGGGATAAACTCTCCGGTGGTTGGAGTCTTACCTGGCACATAGGAAGATGGTTGTAGTTGTTGGAGGTCAGTCATCTCAGCTCCAGGACATCTCTGCAGGAGTTCCTCAGGATAGTGCCCTAGGCCCAACCATCTTCTGCTGCTACATCAATGACCTTCCCTCCATCATAAGGTCAGAAGTGGGGATGTTTGCCAATGATTGCACAATGTTCAGCACCGTTCGTGACGACTCACATACTGAAGCAGTCCATGTTCAAATGCAGCAAGATCTGGACAATATCCACGCTTGGGCTGACAAGTGACATTCACGCTACACAAATACCAGGCTGTGACCATCACCAATAAGAGACAAACTGACCACTGTCCCTTGACATTCAATGGTGTCACCATCACTGAATCCCCCACTATCAATATCCTGGGTGTTATCATTGACCAGAAACTCAACTGGACTCACCATATTAATGCAGAGGCTACAAAAGCAGGTCAGAATCTAGGAATACTGCAGCGAGATATTCCCCTCCTGTCCACTCAAAGCCTGTCCCCCATCTACAAAGCACAAGTCAGGAGTGTGATGAAATACCCCCCACTTGCCTGGATGAGTGCAGCCCCAGCAACACTCAAGAAACTTGACACCATCCAGGACAAAACACCCTGCTTAATTGGCACTACATCCAGAAGAATCTGCACCCTCCACCACCGATGCTCAGTACACACTGCTACTACTATCTACAAAATGCATTGCAGAAGTTTACCAAAGATCCTCAGACAGCACCTTCCAAACTCACGACCACTTCCATCTAGAAGGACAAGGTGTCAGACATATGGGAATATAACCACCTCCAAGTTCCCCTCCAAGCCACTCACCATCCTGACTTGGAAATATATAGCTCTCCCTTCACTGCACCTGGCTCAAAATCCTGGAATTCCCTCCCTAATAGTATTGTGTGTGAACCCACAGCAGGAGGACTGCGGCGGTTCAAGAATGCAGATCAGCACCACCTTCTCAAAGGCAACTAGGGATGGGCAAGAAATGCTGGCCCAGGCAGCGATGCTCACATCCCGCAAACAAATCAAAAAAAAAGTTATCACCGTCAATTGCACGAATACCTTCATTAACTAACAGAGCCACCCATCCACCTTTTCTTACTTTCTTGTTATTCCAGTTTTCCTTATGTCATCCTGCAGCTATATCTAATGGCTACAAATCTTTTTTATTAATTTTGCGCTCTCAGTTCATCTGTGTTTATTTTAATGCTACATGCATTCAGATATGCACCTGTCAGTTTTAGCTCTTTGCTCGTTATTTGTAAGTATATCTTCATGTGGCATGGTGTTGAGATTTTACTCTGGTTATGCTCCTGTGAAGTCACTTAGGATGCTTTACCATGCAAAGGGAACTGTATAAATCCAAGCAGTTGTTGGTTTTTGTGAAATGAATCTGTGATGTCTTTAGAATCATGAGCTGCTTCATTCTGTAATCTCTCTTGTCTGCACAGATATGAGTGAATGGTGTGTAAAGCGTTCTATGCTTGCACTTGTGGATGGGGAAGTCTGGGATATGTATAAACCCCTCAACAAATCCTGTGACATTCAGTTCCTGACTTTCAAGGATGAGAACCCAGAAGAAGTTAATAAGGTAAAGGTTCTACACTGTGATTTCATTAGTGTGGACAGAGATGACAACGGGTTTTAGCTTCATTTTTATCACTCTTTAACCCAGGACGCTGTGTCAATTTTAGAAAGCTTACTGATATCTCACGTCAAATCAGCTAGCTTAGCAGACGGAAATTGAAACTAAGATCCTTCTGGCTTGATTGCCTATTTATGGTTGTTTTTCTGAATGTTGGAGACATGGGGGAATGTTTTATTCTAGTAAATCAATTGCTGGGGGAAGGATGTTGCCACAAAACCAATTTATTCAACTGCAATTACAAGATGTGCTTTGACAGGTGATGAGTATGGAGATGATGCTTGTTTGGCCCTCTCAACCCCACTGTTTTCTGTTGCAAAACTGTTATAACCTGTTTTCTTCTGATTAAAAACAGTAGCTTAATAAAAGAGGGCAGTAAAAACTGTTGCCAATAGATTTCTCACAGATTGTTATTAATGTATCATGACAGATCTCACAACAGCCACCACCAGAAACAAGATTGTAACTACTAGCACAGCTCAAAATGCTATCTCCGGAGATTACCCAGCTGGGAAAGATATATCTACGGTTTAAAAACTGAAAGAACTGCAGATGCTTTAAATCAGAAACAAAAATAGAGATTGCTGGAAAAGCTCAGCAGGTCTGGCAGCATCTCTGAAGAGAAATCAGAGTTAACATTTTGGGTCTGCTGACCCTACGGTTTATGTTTTTCACAGTTCAAGTGAACAAATTATGAAAAATTCATACATTTACTAGATCTTGGAATATTTGATATATCCTTGAACTTGAATTATCCACTAAACTTTCCCTTTGTGTTGTCACCATTTTATACAGTGCAGTTAATCACACGCCCAGTGCACATTCTTAAGTTTGACAGCTGTTTTACAATCAAACATCTAGCTACTTACAAAAGCAGTTTTCTGTTAGTTCATTGCCCATTTCCTATCCTTCCTGTGCTGCACTGTTACATTTATGTGAACACAATGGAATGGTGATTACATTTTGGGAACTTGCCTCCTGAGCTGTAAAAGTGGCATCACCTTCCTGCAAGCTCAAAACGCTGGCTTTTCATATGGTCTTCTATTTTCAAGATGCTGAAACTGTGAAATTTCCCTTCCACCTTCTGTCTTATAAACTTACCTGGCCCCCTCTGTGGCTTCATTCCCTTTTTAACCTTTGTCATATTCTGCATTGTTCCAACTGCTACTATCTCTACACCAGTAACTTGCTCTCAGTTTTTTAATCTCCTCTTGGTCAGTTGCCACAATTTTTGTTTTTCTATTTAGCACAGAGCAATCATGGGTTACGCGCTTACAAACAAAGTGGAGGAGGGAAATCTACTGTGGACAGGAAGATAAAGGCCGTTGCAGTTTACAGTTTTTTTCGAGACTTTGAGTTGTGAGAATGAAAAATAGTCCAACTGTTTAGCTGCTGTTTACTCTGTAATTGCAAGGCTTCAGATGTCTTGGAGTTTTCTGTTGCTGTTGCTGTTGCTTCAACAGCTTGTGTGTGAGGTTGAGGTAGAAAGAAAGAGAGTCTCCCAGTTCTTGTTCACAAATCCATTTTTCCCAGCCTCCCCACTGCTGCTCAAACGGTTGTTAATAAAGATCCATTGGTATATTCCTGAGTCTGCTGTTTGTTTTCCCAAGCCAAATGTTGTACAAGCAACCTTTCATCTCAATGTGTAACTTCCAGAAAGGTACCAGTCAACTGAGAGATCTGAGTTTTGGTGCTGTTTTATAATGACGTTGATTTCAGCTCCGACCAATCCTTGTTTGCTGATAGGTTCGTGAGCTTGTTGCAACCATGTCAGGTGATCGCAGCAACCATTTTATAAGGATGTGAAGAATGTTGGTGGGAGGCTTGTGTTGGGAATAAACTCCTGACTAGTTGATTTTGGATTTGTTCAAATCAGTTCTTACTCCATGAATGACTTTGGCATTAAAGTTAAATGATAAAAATTGAATATCGATTGTCCACTTTCTCTTTGACTGTAACTGCCTGAAGGGTGGAGTATGGAGGTAACATGGGAATACATGAGGGTTTCATCACTTGATTGACTATGTTGGGAATTAACCTGCTCCACCATAGGGTATAGTATGGTGGGCAACTCAGCTGGTGTTGGGATTGGAAAGCCCATTGAGTTTGCAAAAAGCTGGAGGTGGGGCTGAGGGGGAAGGTTTATGACAAGGATGTAAAATTGACGCGGAGTGTTGGAAGTGGTAAGGAAATTTGCTAGTATTGGTCATTTTAATGTTTAGATTTTCTCGCTGTCTATAGGCTTGGGCTTTTCACCAAAGTATCCCAATTTAAAAAGATACTCTGACTGACAGTAACCATTTATAAAAACTAAATAAAAGCCCTTCCCTCTACTCTTCTTTATTGAATTGGTGATGACTTCCAATGCCCTTTCTGAAATCAAACATTTCCTCAAATCAACCTTTTACCCCACTGTCCTTTTGACTTTCTCCTTTGGGGAAATCTTCTGCTTACAGAGATATAGATTTTAAAAAATTGTGTATTTGTATCACTGCAATGTCACACTTCTGGTATTTATATCTTGGCATGTACAAAAGCAGCTCTGTGCTTACAGACTCCCAGAATGAACAATAAGTTGTACATCTTGTAACATTTTGTTGCTGTTTTGCAGAGTCCAGTAACAAAGCTAAGATGTCACCCTCTGGATTAGAATAAAAATGAATCAAAAGTGTTTTACAAGAATCTGACAGCTCCAGTTTTCTTTTAGGGGTAGAAAGAAGGTGTTATGTAAGCCTCCCTCCTACTAATCCTGGTTTTGTGATGTTTGAGGAGATGTGATTTAATGTTTGTTCTGCATCATTTTTAAATAGGCTTACTGGCGTTCATGCGCTATGATCATGGGGTATGTTCTTCAAACAGCGTTTAAGGAAGAGTACAATGTTGAACTGATTAGAGCACCAGAAATACCAGGTACTCCAATGTTGTTTTTAAGAAAACTGTGTTTAATATGTTTTACTTCCTGATTTTAATACAGCTGTCAATTTGCCATCTTCCTGGTTGCCAGGGAGAATTGCGAATGTCAGACTTGCTGCCACATGGGTCACTTGACGAGAGTAGTGTAAACATATTTAAGTTTGAGAAACAGGTGAGGGTGGAAAGTAGTAGAAGGACGCAAAAAAGGGTGGGGGGAGGTTTGTTTTGAAAATAAACTCCCAACTAGTTGAGTGGAATGGCTTATATCTCTGCTGTATGTCCTTTGTGGTGCATTGCAATGGTGATGTGCTGTCTGATATGACACCCGGCCTTGGCATGCACACAGGAATGGGGAATCTGTGTTTTGAAGCAATCAAGCAGCAGGGAAGTACAGAATTCTGGGGTGTCTTTTGCCACTGAGGCCTGCTTATAGTCCCAGCAGTGCCCACTACTGATTTCTGATGCTGCTGGGACTGCTAGATTTGCTGGCCAATTTATTTGGCCAACTTTCCATCGGTACTGTTGATGGAGTGACAGCCTGGCTCTCTGTGATCAAGCTCTGGAGTGGAGCTTGAAAACGGAACATTGTGATTTGGAGGTGAGTGAGTATCAATTGATCCAACAGTTGACATGTGCAAAGCAACGGAGAAGTCATAACCATTCTGTGTTGGATTCGATTGGGACAGAAAGGGAGCAACCATTATTGTTCCTCTTGGAAAGTGTCAAGAGGCATCGACTCTGCTTTTGACTCCTCTAACCTTTACACAGAACGTTACTCAAGTATTCACCAACTTCAAAATGCTTGAGACACCAACACAAATGTAATAGTCCTAAGCTGCTAAGCGGTCAAGGAACTGATAACGATACAAATCTTGTCCTCAGTAATAATATGTTTTTCACTTTGAGATTATTGCAGTGTGATATTTATTTTCTGTCACAGTGATTTCTGGAGCTTTCTGTTATGACGTTATATTGGATGGAAGATTAAATGACTGGACACCCTCTGTGGTAAGTGTGCTGACAATGATCTGTTCCCTCTTGCTTGAAGTTTCCAACCAGCCATCCTCTGATTTAATTTAAAAGGGGCCCCTTCCCCACACCCACTTTCCCTTTGACCTCCCCACCACAGAATGTAATGAATTTCTAATGTTTGTATCCAAACCAAGGGGAAAACTATCCCTGGGCAATGTGACTTAAACTTAGATGCCTGCCGATTATTCCTTTTGGTATTGTTCATAGTATATCAGATTGAGTGAGTAACCTTCCTGATTTTTATATATTATTTGCACACGCTATTCTGTAGCAAAGGTTGAGCTGTGTCTAAGCCTCTCTTTTTAAGGCTGAAAATATGATAAACGAAAGATCATTTAGTGGTTAATTGCTGTTTCATATAAGAACAAGACCAAGATCAGCTAGAGGCAAATTACTGCTGGTGAGGGAAGTTTGCAGATTGCTGGGTTGTGGTGAACTTCAAATTATTTCTGTAACCTCATCTAGCTCTATAATCCTTTGAGATACTTGTTCTCTTCCAAAACTTGTCTCTTGCGCATCCTAGCTTGATATCTCCACTATTAGTAGCTTTGTCTTCAGCTTCCTAGGATCTTACTATGGAATTCCGCTTGGTTTCCCCGATGTAGAGGAGGCCACATCTGGAACAGCGGATACAGTATACCACATTAGCAGATGTGTCCTGCTTGGGGACCACTTTGCGGAACACCTGTGCTCGGTTCGCAACAAACGACTGCACCTCCCAGTTGCGAACCATTTCAATTTCAACTCCCCCTCCCATTCCTTAGACGACATCTCCATCCTGGGCCTCCTGCGGTGCCACAACGATGCCACCCGAAGGTTGCAGGAACAGGACCTCATATTTCGCTTGGAAACCCTGCAGCCCAATGGTATCAATGTGGACTTCACAAGTTTCAAAATCTCCCCTCCCCCTACCGCATCCCAAAACCAGCCCAGCTTGTCCCCGCCTCCCTAACCTGTCCTTCCTCCCACCTATCCCCTCCTCCCACCTCAAGCCCCACCCCCATCTCCTACCTACTAGGCCCCTTGACCTGTCCGTCCTCCCTGGACTGACCTATCCCCTCCCTAACTCCCCACCTACACTCACCTTTTACTGGCTTCACTCCCGCCTCTCTGACCTGTCTGTCTCCTCTCCACCTATCTTCTCCTTTATCCATCTTCTATCCACCTCCCTCTCTCTCCCTATTTATTTCAGAATCCCCTTCCCCTCCCTCATTTCTGAAGAAGGGTCTAGGCCCAAAACGTCAGCTTTCCTGCTCCTCTGATGCTGCTTGGCCTGCTGTGTTCATCCAGCTCTACACCTTGTTATCTCAGATTCTCCAGCATCTGCAGTTCCTACTATCAATGAAATACTCATGCCATTTTAAAACTAGTCACTTACCATGTGAAAGTTAGTGTACGAACTGAGAGAGGCTAGTAGGAAGCAGATTGAAATATGTAAATCCAGGGATGAGTTGGAGGGAGAGATAACACAGTGTGTTGCTGGAGGAACACAGCAGGCCAGGCAGCATCAGAGGAGCAGGAAAGTTGACGTTTTGGGTCCTGATCTGAAATGTCATCTTTCCTGCTCCTCTGATACTGCTTGGCTTTCTGTGTTCCTCCAGCTCCACACTGTGTTATCTCTGACTCCAGCATCGGCAGTTCTTACTATCTCGGAATGAGTTGGAGGGATATCTTATATGTGGCCCATTGATCATCTAGGAATAAATTGGCCATCGTAGCTGAGAACAGCTAACTGAGCATAGTCTGACATTTGAGCTGTGATCTTTCTGACTGATTTCCTTCATATGTAGGGACAGTTCATTCTGAGGCGCATTGTAGATGCAAGTCTTTTCCCTTTGTTTCTTTATTTAGAAGAACCTGACCTGCATTGTAGATCTTAATCAAGTTGCCTAAAGTTTCTGTGTCTCCAAGATGTGAATGTCACTTTCCCAATTGTGTTTAATACCTATGCTGATAAGATCTGGAAAATGTGGACCAATTTTTCATATCCTGGGATCCTTCTCGCTCCCTGAACTCGGGCATAAATGATGAAATTTCATCATCTCCTCCAGTGTGCCAGATCATTCCTTCAGCTGCCTGTGGAAAAGACTATTTGAGGACCTGCACTTAAAACCTGAGAGCTGTGTCTTGGTTTGCAGGGCAGCAGTGATCCCCGTGCTTCTATATGCTCCAGAGACTTGGATAACTTGCAGCAGGCACCTAAAGTACTGGAGAAATACCACTCAGTGTCTCAGAAGATCCTTCAAATCTGTTAGCAAGAAAGGTGATCCTCTCCCAAGCCAACATGCCTAGCATCAAGGTGCAACGTGCTTATAACCAGCTCCTCTTGGGAGGCCATGTTATTTGTATGCCTGACACCAGACTCCGAAAGCAACTGTTCTATTTGGAACTTGATTATGGCAGGAAACTTCCCGGACAACAGCGGAAATGTTCTGGGGATGTCCTTAAAGAGCCATGAAGTGGTCAAACATTCCCTCCAACCCGTTGGAGCCACAGGCTTGTGACTGACCAAAATAGAGAAGGTTCGACATGGCACTGAACAAATTGAGAACCCACATTGAGATCATACAAAGGTCTATTCGAGGCAGCGGATTGAGTGCACAAAACTACCCGATTCTCAGAGTACCTGCTCCTGCCCTGCCTGTGGCAGAGGGCTGCAGTTTGAGCTTTGGGCCTATCATCCATCTCCAGACCTATTGACTTGGAAGTGAAGCAAGCCGTCCTCGATCCTGGGGGATTGCCTATAAAGGAAAAGAAGGCATAATTCATATTTTACTGGAGCGCAGTGTCATGAACAGCTGAGCAGAGCATTGAGCTTGCTGTCTCTTACCAGGAATGGGTTTTGCAATTAGTGTAAAAGGAAGCTGCATTTCCCCAGATGCTGTGTAATGTTTTATCCACAAGATGTCACTCTCGGCCCAGCCTTGCTCATAGGTGGCTGTGAATCTCCTGACACTGCTGAGAGAATGAGCAGGAGCTTCATCATTGCAATACATGAAATTCATTGCCTGAAGGCAGAGAAGAGAATCTGCTCACAGTGAGCTGTAAACTTAACATTAATACCTTTATTTCAAACGGTGATCTTGGCTAAAGCCCTAGTGCAGACTTTTGAAAAATGATGGAAAACTGTGTCCATGGCTGGAGAAACTTGTAAAGAGTGAAGATCTAAGGCAGCTGCTTTATCCTAAGGATTTTACAATTAGCTTATCCTGGGGTATTTATCCCCCTGTTTTATCTAAGTTTTGATTCTTTTGTGGAGTATAAAATCACAGAATCCCTACAGTGTGGAAAGAGGCCATTCAGCCCATCAAGTCTGCACTGACCCTTCGAAAAACATCCCACCCAGACCCAGGGTTTTGTATAACTGCAGCATAACTTCTGCATCCTTATATTCCAGTCCTTTAGATAGAAGGACAGCATTGCTTTAGCCATGCCGTCCTCTCGCACAGAAAGCACTGTGATCTAGAAGGATCGCAGTTAAATTACCCTCCTCTTCCCTCCCTGCCCTGACACACGCACACAAACTGCAATTGCTGCCCCCTACCCCAAAACACCTCTAGGCACTGAGGCCAACTGTAGGGACTGAACAGGCCTCCCAAGTGTGACCAGACCCAAAAAAAAAAGGCAACATGGAGATTTCTGCTGTTTTTTTATTGGTGGCTGTGGGATCTTTTGTGTCCATCTGAGGGGGCAGACAGAACTTCGGATTAACATCTCATCACAGTGATGCTTCCTCCCACAGTGCAGCAATTCGCTCAATTCTGACCCTCCAGCAGTGAAACGTACCCTCAATACTGACCCTCTGACAACATGCCACCTTCTCTCTGTACTGACCTGTCATTGTGTGTAACTGATGTAAAGGATATTTTATGGAAGAACTAGTGGGGAAATGTAAAACTTCTTCACATAGCAGGCTTCAGTGACGCATGGAACACGTTACCTGGAAGTCTGGTGGAAACATTCCATAGAAACTTTCAAAAAGCATTTGGGTATTGATTTTGCGGAGAATGAATCTGACGGGAACTAACTTGCAGAATTACAGACAGCAAGTTATGCTGTGGTTTTAAGTTAGAAAGCTCCTTCAGAAAGGTGGCACAGGCGCTATGAACCAAGTGGCACCACTTTTGTAAAATTGGAGCATGTAAAGATCTGGATATGGAGTGCTAACACACGTGGCATTTGAAATCTGAAGTTTTCTTCCTCCAAGAGACTGTAGATGTTGGGACTGGAATTGGAGTTTTCAAGTTGGAGGTAGATTTTGATTTGGTGAGAGTATCGAGGAACATGGATTTAAGCAGCAGCTGGAATATGCATCAACCCATGATCTAAACGAACAGTCCTGATGAGCTGAATGGCCCATTCCAATCCTGATGTTCCTTTTTTTGATTTCCATTAGAGTGAGTAGTGAGAGTATATGGGGATGAGGCACAAAGGTTACAGTTACTTTTGTCTCAAAGGTCTTCACCCAGTCAATTACCTTTTGAATCCAGCAGACATTCATGCAAGTACTGCCCTTGTACTACCAAGTGGCCATTTATATGGCGACCAGGGCCAGAAATGTCCTGCTTCTGTCATTTTTGAGGACAATGATGAACAATTTTGTGTAGTGGCCTTCATTCAAAAGAAGGTGAGGATTACTTACTTGCTCTGAATTTCCCCCAAACTTGACACATTTTCCCTTGAGGCCATACTCCATAATAGAGTTTCCCTTCAGGGAGACTTTTCTAAATTAAATATTGAAAATATAAATTTTTCTGAATTCTTTTCACACACTCCTTCCTTTTCTGTAGACACTATTCCTGCTAGTGCCCAGTTCTGTAGTAGAGCCTGCAAAAGTCTAAAAGTAGGAGTATCTCAGACTCTTTAACAGTGAAAAGCGTCACATTATACTGCATCAAACTGTTTGCCAGAGAGTAGCTAAATACAGTAGAGACCAGCAATTTGAGCTAAGGCCTTCTTCTGAATGTGGCTTGGTGTTTGTCGGGAGCTTGCCATTTTCTATTTTTATGTGTGCCACTAAATTTGTAAATTTTTAAATTTGGTATAGGGTTTGCCCTAGGTAGAGTGTTCCATCTTCTAAAGGAAGGAAAGATAAATTCAGACACAGTGGTCTGTGTGACTACTTTCTATACTGCAGATTTCCCTGATCCTTTTATTCTCTTGTATCAGATATACACTGGTCTCCTCCACAGGTGGTTTGGGAAAGGATTTATTTACATATGTAAGCCTTGTTCTCATTGTCTTGTGTTTTCTGTCTTCTCCATTCCAGGAGAACTTGCGTTCCCTCAGCAAAGACGCTCATATGCTTATTCATAAAGACTTGCCCTTTGAATCATTGGAGGTGGCACCCAAGGTTGCTGTGGAAATATTTCAGGAGAACAAGTAAGCACTGGGATATTTGAGTAGCTGCTTCTGCATTGCTGTAACTTTTCCAGGCAGCTGCAGTTTTTCTTACAAGACAATCAACACACTGCAGTTCTTGTGTTTCTGCTGTTGCTGTTTAGAACTGGCTCCTTTTTTCCCTATCTGCCTTCTTTTGTGTACCCTATTTTCTTCCCTATTCTGAATCTGGCTGTTACAGTTCCACAGTTTCTGACAGCCTTTCAGTATCTTGCCACAGTGACCATTCTTTTTGTGTGAACATTGGATAGGGAACGCCAGTGTGTTATTCAACCACCCAGTTCAGCATAGAGAAGGCTGATTTCCCCCTGAATGCATGAAGGGACACAAACTCACCACACTTGCCATCAGAAGGCACTGATGAGGATGGGAAACCCTGGATGACTTTCTATTTTCACTTCTTTGTCATATGGGTTCATAGCAGCACACCTCCTATCACTATGCATGTGAAAAGCTAAAATTATCTGGGAATCAAACCCAGGTATATAGACAATATATAGTATGACCTCATGGGTATATTTGTGTATATTTAACAATCCATATGATTACTATATATGTGACTGAATGCCTATCAATTGGCAATATGAGTGCTTTGGGTGTACAGGGTGCTTAACATGCCTTATCTTCTTCACAGACACAAGTTGGCTGCAATTGAGGAGCAGGCTTCCCTCAATCCCAACAAGCTTGTAAAGCTGTACAGGTGGGAACTGCTTTAGTTATCCCGTGACACTGACTAGTTCATTGCAATGATGAATCGGTTTCATCGTAAATGAGAAGAGCAATGTTCTAAAGTATTTTCCCTACAATCTCATTAAAAGTAGGTGAGCAGGAGGAATTGTTTTGTGGAGGATCCTGCTAAGTCTTGAAAAGCATTCTGTTGAGGGACCTTACCTTTTGAATTTGGATGTTGGATCTGGGGAATGCATTTATATCTGATCGATTAGGATGAAGCACTGGTGGAGGGAGCAACTTGGACTAATTTACTTATATGCATACACAGGTCATTTCCCCTGGTTAGTGTGTTTACGATAAGAAGTCTCTCAGTATAGGAGTCAGCATTTCAAGACTGAAAATACCAAAATTTGACATAGAGATAATGAATCTTTGGTGTTTTCTGTTCAGAAGACTCCAAATGCTCGGTTGTTGAGATCAAGGCTGAGGTTAATAGAATTTTGGGTGCTAAGAGATTCCAGGGATATGTGGATTGAGTCAGATAGATTAGCTGTGATCTTACTAAATGACAGAGCAGGATCATGGGGTCAAACAATCTATTGTGCTTTTTTGTTCCTATGTTGTTAATTCTTAATTAAAGCACACAGTTCTGCGTATTTTTCCTGAGGAAGAAAATGTACAAAAACTTCTGGTAGTTACGTGGCCACAGCCACTCATCCCACTTCCTTAGCTTCTAATGTGAGTTGAAGGAGTTTACCGATACTGATTGCTGACAGGCCTAGTTTCTTATGATACAAGTGTTGCTACCAATTAGTATTCATTGCTTATTACCTTAATACGATGGTGAAATTTTGCCGTCAACTGTTGTAGTCATGTGGTGAAGGTGGAAGTTGCCTGCGAAGTTGCAATGATGACTTGCTGCAGTGGATCCAGTAGATGCTACACACTGCAGTCATGTTATGCCAAAAAAAAGAGGAGTAGAGATTTCAGGTGGTGGATGGGCTGTCTGTCAAGCAGTCTCCTTTCTCTGTGATTGTTGTTTAGTTTCTTGAATATTGGTGTACATGTAATCAATTTAAGCAAGTGGGCTTGTGAGTTGTGATTCCCTTTCTTTTGGACTTGCAAGTGACATGGCTCATTATTCAAGCATTATAATTGTTTAGCATTTAATTTTGGGCTACAGTAAATCCTGAATTGCTGCTGTTATTTGGACAGTCAAAAGTGTTGAACTGGATGTTGTAGTGCAGTGTGATCATTAGGATTTCAGTAAACTGTATTGCTAGGTGTGAACTTTTTCCTTTTACTTTCACATAACCTTGGACTGTAAAACTATTAGCAGAATAATCTAAGATCTCATAACCTATATGAAGATTTAAACTAATTAGTTTAGAGTGTAAGAGTGCAAATTTTTGACGTAACATATTGAACATATAACTTAACAATAAATAGCTTTGACTGCAAAGCTCTTTTCTGCATGGCATATTGTTTAGGAATGCCTGAAATAAGCTTAGTAACACCATTGTGATGTATTTTGACTGGCGTAAGTCCTGCTAACTGTTTGAATGTGAACAAACTATTCACAATATAAATGTAAGTTTCTCAATCTCTGCCTGTCTGTATAGGATCGGTGATTTTGTAGATGTCAGCAATGGACCACATGTCTCCAGGACCAGTGTCTGCTCGCAATATGAGATTACTGCTGCCCACAACCTGAAAACAACCGAGTCTGGACTTGTCCGAAGATTCCAGGGGATCTCTCTGCCCATTCATCTGAAGGTACGCTGACACAAACGTGGGTAAGATGTTTGAATAATGTTTAATACTAGCTTAATTTAACTGGGAGACCCAAACTTTATTTAACCTCTTTACAATTTGTCCTGGTTATAGTGGCTTTGATTGGCACTCTGTGTTAGTACTGTCTAATGTAAATTAGTAGATGCCAGCCTCGCTAAGTGTTTGCTGCTGATCTACTTTACCAAAATAACAAGGGATGCATCTAATGGCTAGGGAAGCAGGTAAAATCAAAATAACAGCTGAACTGCAGAATGGTGGAGTGGCAGTGACTGTGAATACTATTCACTGTCTCAGGCAAAGAACTGAGATTAGGTGATTTCTTCATTGGAGAATGAACAGGGACGGTTCAGTTTCCTGGACTATGGCTTATAAAGTGACTAGCAGAGGGCAAGGAGCAGGCCACTTCTCTGCAACGAAAAGTGAAAAGTTATGATGACAATAAACTTGATTTCAAATTGCATTTGATTCATCATAAATAAATAACCCTAGTTATTATGTTCCCATGGCACTTACTGGTAAAGCTGCAGGGGTTAGTTCTTTGCTGATTTAATCTTTCATTGTAGATATTGCACTCTGACTGTCTGATCAAAACAAAACAAAACAAAGGTGATTACAAACTAAATAAAAGCTTCATAAATACACAAGCATGAATGGGCTAATGACCTTTTCATCAAGGTACATAATGTAACAACCTAATTACTCAATACGAATTTTCAGAGGGGAATTGGATCAATACTTAGAAAACTACAGAGCTATAATGAAAGAGCAAGGGAGTGGAACTAATTAGATAGCTTTTTCAAAGAACTATTAATGGTATGGTGGGTTGAATGGCCTCCACTGCTGTGTGAGTCCATAAGCCATACAGCTTCCTCACTGAGGTTTTTTTTCCCTCATTCATTCTTGGGCTGTGGGCATTGTTAACTAGGCCAGCATTCCTTGCCCTGGACAAGGTGAACTTTTAAACTGTCCTTGGAGTGTAATGACACCCGTTGTGTTGTTAGAAGAAAGAGCCAGGATTTTGAGGCAGCAACAGTGAAAGAGTGGCATATTGTTCTAAGCCTGAATGATCTGTAGTTTGGAGGGGAACCTGTAGCGTGTATTCCATGACCTACTCAGAATTCTAACAGACTTGTCAGGCATGGTCTCCTCTTGATGAAGCTGTGCTGACTCAGGCCTATTTTACCATGCACTTACAAGTACATCGCAATCTTTTCCTTAGTAATGACTCTAAAATCTTACCAATGACCGAGGTCAGGCTAATCGGCCTATAGTTTCCTGCCTTGTGCCTCCCTCCTTTCTTAAACAGGGTTGTTATGTTAGCTATTTTCCAATCCTCTGGGATCCCCCCTGACCCCAGTGATTCCTGCAAGATCATCGTCAATGCCTGTACAATCTCCTCAGCTATCTTCTTCAGAACTCTGGGGTGTAGTGTATTCGGTCCAGGTGATTTATCCACCTTCAGACTCTTCAGCTTCCCCAGCACCTTCTCTTTAGTGATGGCTACTACACTCACTTCTGCCCTCTGATTCCCTTGAAGTTCTGGAATGCTACTGGTATTTTCCGCTGTGAAGACTGATGCAAAGTACCTATTCTGTTCCTCTACTTTTTCTTCGTTTCCCATTACTACTTCTCCAGCCTCATTTTCTAACAGTCTAATGTTCAGTCTTGCCTCTCTGACATTTTATATATCTCAAAAAAGCTCTTGCAATCTTCTTTTTTGTTACCAACTAGCTTACCCTTGAATTTCATCTTGACCCTTGCTGACTCTCCAATGTATTTTTAATTGCCCTCTGTTGGTTTTTCAAGATGTTCCAATCCTTTGCTTCTCACTAGTCTTCGGCAAATTGTATGCTTTTTCTGTTGCCTTTATGCTGTCCCTGACTTCGCTTGTCAGTCATGGTTGCCGCACCCTCCCGTTAGTATTATTCATCTTCTTTGGGATGAATATTTGTGCCTCCTTGAATTCCCTTCAGAAACTCCAGCCATTCCTGCTCCATCGTCCTCCTTGCTAGCCTCCCCTTCCAAACAACTCTGGCCAGCTCCTCCCTCTTGTCTTTTAGTTACCTTTTCCTCAATTGTAGTACCGTAACATCCGATTCCAGCTGCTTCCACTGAAACTGCAGGGTGAATTCTATCATATTATGGTCACTGACACCAAGGGGTTCCTTCTCATTGTGTCACAATATGAATGGTTAAAATTGGAGGATGCCTATTTAACAATGATTTAAATTAATTCCTATTTATTTTTTCTTCTTCAGTTTTCTTGCAATGTAATAATCCACTCTTTATTTCCAACCTCCTGGTAGGTCCTTTTCTCCGTGTGGGAAAGATTAAGGCAGAGATCCCAGAAGCTGGTGAGTTGGAGAAGTTTGGTTTAATTTTGTTGTATTTTCAAGTTTGCATAATTGATTTTGGGAAACTGGTTTGTTTTGTGCCCAACAGTGATGCTACTTGACACACTGTTCATTTCCCCTCTTCTTTTGTGTTTTGCAGATTACAAAAGACCAGGGTCACACACAGACAGTGGAAGCGAGAGCATCGTGAACAGATTGTGCAGAGAAATCAACCAACTTGCTTTTTAAAAACTTGTAATATGAGTAAATTGATTGATTATGCACCCAGTAAAATATAAAATATTATCCTTAATGAGCCTGTTGTGTTGAAGAAGGATGTGTACTGCGAGTAATGATCTGGAATGTGCTACACAAGAAGGGTGATGAAAACAGATTGATTACTTGGGGAAGAAGCTGGTGCACTGGTAATGTCACTGGACAGGTAATCCAGAGCCCTGTGGCAGATGGTGAAATTTGAATTCAATAAAATCTGTGTAACCATTGTAGAAACCCATCCAGTTTATTGATGTCCTTTAGGGAAGGAAATCTGCCATCCGCACCTAGTCTGGCCTGCATGTGACTCCAGATCTGCAGCAATGTAGGCATTTCCATATCCCATGAACAAATAAAAGGGAAGTAACTTTCAAAATGAGAGTGGATATATAAATGAAGAGAAGAAATTTGCACAGAAAGAATATGTACGATGGGACAAATGGCCAGCAGTATATCATTCCATGTCAGGATTGGGATAAAACTATTAGGCCTTCAGTTTTCTCTACTTTCTTGAAATCATAGATTCTTTGAGTTACAGTTCCACAGAGCTGGTTTTTCTTGGGTATACAGCCTTGTAAAACCACATGCTTTGCATGAGAAGTCTTCTGACGTGCACTCCCAATGCGCCCCAGGTGGGCCAAGGCCGATATCTGGATGTGGATGTTAACTGACTGCTCAATTTAGGAGGATATCATAATCAGGTCAGACTCCATCCTTCCCTAGGGCATGCAGGCAAGCACAAGAAGACCTGTGTTAATCTGAATAGATGAAGGACTTGTCTTTTTTCCCCAAGTTTCCATCTATTTGTTACTTTTTGGTACTCAAGAAAATAAAAATTTTCTTCAAAGGTGTTAAAAACTGGCTTCCTATTCATTAATCATGGGAAAGATATTGGCTTCTCTATCGTGTGGGAGCTATATTAGTGGCTGTATGTGTATAGGGTCAGTGACTGCCCCCAAGTAAGCTAAGTGTTGAACTGTCTGTTTGGCTCAGTGGCTTTAAGCTCCATTTCACCCATGATCTAGGATGACTCATCAATGTAGCATGCAAAATAAGCCACTGCATTTTCAGAAAAAGTGAGACATTAAACTGACATCCTATCTACCTGTTCTGTTCAGTCAGACGATGTTAGCATGGAAGCAGCAATAGGTCACATAGTCCCTCCAGCTGTTTCAGTGAGATTGCCCCATTTTCTGATTATTTTTGGTTAATAAAATCATAAGCTTACAGTTAACAATTAATCTGCCATCAGTTAACATTTGCAGAAGACTGTTCCAAACCTCTGCCACTACTTGCCTATAGAAGGGTTTACTAATTTCACTTGTGAAAAGTTGAAACTAAATTCAAGACGGTGCTGCTTAGTTCTAGATTCCCCAGCCATGAGAAATACTTTTTGAGTCTCCTCTATCTGTTTCCATCAAAACTTCAATCAAATCACCCTTCTGTCATTCAAATTTCAGGGTTTACAACTCTAGTTTGTGTTGTCTCTCTCCTCTCAGTTTAATGCTTTGATGAAGATATTCTGCTAAATCTATATTACACTGTATCCTTAAGCCACAGCATGGTGTGAACAAGAGTTCCTACCGTGGATGACATTTTCCCCCATCCCCCAGCACCACATCTGACATCTTTATGAATTGTCCATCTCATTTTTGACAGTGAACTAACTGATGCAGGCATACATGCGTTTATATTCTACATAAGGCCAATTTTGCTTTTCTTCCTTAGCTACCTGTCTTAGTCTCCTGTACTTATTTCGCTTCTTTCTACGATTCATTGCAGTATTCACGTCAACTGCCCTTTGTGGTAGGACCATTCCAACTATTTTCTGGTAAAGAAGTTCCCCTGAAATCATTACAGATTTATTAGTGACTATTTTATATTTGTGCCCCCTAATTTATACTGCACTGCAAGTGGGAACATTTCTCTACCTTTACCCTATAAAACCCCTTCAGAATTTTAAAGATATCTGTTGGTTCTCCCCAAATTTTTGATTTTCTGTGAAAAGAGTTCCAGCCTGGGTTCTGAGGAAGGGTTACTTGGTCCGAAACATTAACTCTGATTTTTTTTTTTATCCACAGATGCTGGCAGACCTCCTGAGCTTTTCCAGCAACTTCTGTTTTTGTTTCTGATTTACAGCATCCGCAGTTCTTTCCGTTTTTATCCAGCCTGTCGTTGCTGTGCGTGATAGCTGTTGTGTCGATGTCCATGTCAGTCATCATCACACTTCAAAATGATGTAGCTGTTGTCGTGTGTAGCCCTGTGGTGATGTGATAAGGTGCTATATAAATGCTGAGTCCTTTTTGCTTAAACTCCCAAGTGAGGAATTCCAAGCTGTTAACCTCTGCCTAGAATGTTGTACAGTACGTTGCCAGACTCCCTGAGGCTAAGCAGAAGTTTTTTTCAGTTGAATAAAGTAAGTGCAGAAATAGAAGCAAGGTAAGACTGAGTATGACCCTTGCACATTTGCTGTAATTGCACAATATGTTCTGAAACTAAATGATTTTTTAGGCATGCTTGATATTGATTGTAGCTTTGATCAAAGCTGAAGCCTTTAAGTGTAGATTGGAGAATAAATAATATCCACTAATAATGATGAGGATCAGAACATTTTACTGGAGCTATAATTACACCAGAATGGGAGGAAAGGGGCACACTGCCTGCTTTCTCCTCGCCTGTCCTGTTCTCTAGTATTTCACTCGAGCACCACCTGTCAGACTTCAAAAAAAGTGCAAATGATTTCCTAAAGATGTAATGCTTTAGAACTTTGTCTTGCTGGCCTCACTTAACCTTTGCATTGATTCCATTCAAGTCTTAAGCTTTGTCCTTAATCCTCTCAGCCTATCCAAAATTGCTTTAGTGCTTCCTCTGTCCTGTTGGAGTTGGAATTTCAACATCTATACTAGCTAAAAGAAAAAAATAATTCAGTATGTTAACCTTTGAACATTTGAAATTAACTTAGCTGACTGCTATGAAGGAATTGAAATGTCTGTTAATATTCTTTGCTATGCTAATTTCATGCTGTACTTCAGTTTTCCTGATCAACTTCTCAACCTCCTTTTCAGTTTTACATATACCCTCCTCCCCTGTTCCTTCATTAAAAGGTACTTCATCAACTGTAGAATACTTTGAGACTTACATTTATACAGGATCGCACCCAATCTTTTGTTCTTGTAGTCGTGATTTTTTTTGTGCATGTTACCTGCTTGATACCTGCAAATTTTTTTTCCCCTGATGGTATGTATTGCTGCCAGTGAAATATTGTATCCAGACACTTCAACCAGTTAATTACTCATAAAATGCATTTACTCAGGTACTCTTACTGTATGAGACAAAAAAAGACTACAGTTCAAACTTAGTTTTATTAAAACACTGGCAAGTTAAAGAAACAATTCTTACATAAATTAACTTTTCCCCAAACTAGGCTGACTGCCTGAAAAACAGAGATACAGACCTCTCTGGTGAATTTGATTGTGCTGCTGGATTTAATTGATCAAAATGAATGAACAAATGAAAAAGTACATCCCAGGAACAGGCCCTTCGGTCCTGCAAGCCTATGCTGACCATTGTGCCCTAATTAATTTAAAAACAAACCTGCCATTTTCGATCCGTATTCCTCTATTCCCTCCCTATTCATGTACCCATCTCTGTGCCTTTTAAATATCTTCAATGTGCCTGCTTCTGCCACCTCTTCTGGTAGTGCATGCCAGGCTGCTACCACTCTTGGCGTGAAAAACTTCCCTCACACATCTCCCTTAAAGTTTCCCCCTCTGACCTTGAACCTGTGCCCCCTTGTAATTGAAACTTCAACCCTGGGAAAAAGCCTCTGACTATCTGCCCTATCTATGACTCTCATAATTTTGTAGACCTCTCAGGTTTCCTCTCAGCTGCCGCCTTTCCAGTGAAAACAAACCTAGTCTTTTTAACCTTTCCTCATAGTCAGTGCCCTGGAGACCAGCCAATATCCTGGTGAATCTTCTCTGTACTCTCTCCAAAGCTTCCACATCCTTCTGGTAATTTACTGAGCCCCATTGATGGGTGCACTCGGGGTCCTCTTACTACGAAGGTGGGTTTCACAGGGAGTCTTCGCCAGCTGAGTCTTCACTCAGGGAATGGCTGTCCCTTCTTATCACACACCCCTCCCCTACTCTTTCTGAGACCCCTTCTAGAGGGTCACAGGTCAGGGGTCAGAGCAACCAATGAGGTTAGACCAAGATGTGCCCATCTCCTTTCCAAGCAATGATGACTCTGTGGTGTTAAGGGGTCTGTCAAAACTTGGGAATACACAAACATAGTGTCCCTCCCTATTGCTCTGTCTGAGTACCACTTAATAAGTTTCGGGTCATAATGACTCCCATGGTTAATGTCAACCACCTCTGGTCAAAAGGCAATCCACCCCTGGGCTGATCCTTATTTGCTTTTGACCTGTGTAACCTTGGCCTCAAGCCTTGCAGAAACTGGAACAGAAATTGCTGGAGAAGTCAGCAGGTCTGGCAGCATCTGTGAAGAGAAAGTCGAGTTAATATTTTGGGTCCAATACCCTTCTTCAGAATGATAGAAACTCCTTGCTTTCAGAAGCTGTTTAGCCAAATATATGTTGGGTCTAAAACAAAGTTGCTGGAAAAGCTCAGCAGGTCTGACAGCATCTGTGAAGGAAAAAAAGTTTTTTTTACCTTTTTTTTTTTCTTCACAGATACTGCCAGACCTGCTGAGCTTTTCCAGCAACTTTGCTTTTGTTCCTGATTTACAGCATCCACAGTTCTTTTGGTTTTTATCTATGTTGGGTCTAATTGCTTAGGCTGTTGGCCACTTGGCCAAATATCTGTTCTAAACTGTAGGCATGAAGTAATTGTTAACATGTACAACTTTCATGCAGCAGTACTGGCACTCTGAGGTAATTTCTCTTCCTTTCTCCTTATGAAAATGTAAAACCTTCTAAAACTGAATGTAGCTGTTCTCTTTTTCAGAATATTGCCATCGCTATTATGCTGTTCAGACTCCAACCTGCTGTTCCTCTTGTGTTATTTAGTGTTGGGTCCAATAACTCCATTGTTGACTAGTGCAGTTGATTAACTACTTTTACCCTTTTAAAAAACGTTACTACAGAAGCTTACAGTGCAGAAGGATCCATTTGAGTCTTTTCTTTGACTCTAATTTGCAGAATCACATTGGTCTAGCAGTCATAACAACTAATTGCTTCTGTATCTGCTTTTCTTGATTGCAAGATTTTTGGTCTCATTCACACTATTGCCAAAGGACTGTATGTAACTGATCAAATTAGTATTCTTACATCAGATCTTGGCTGTTGACATTCCAATAAAAGACCATGCCTAGGTTTTCTTTGTCACCAAACCAATGTTTACCCAATACTGAGCTGTCCATGCTATAGTGTCACATTTAGCTTAAATTGTTAGTTGATCATAGTCCGCATCTGGTAAAGGTGCTGCAGCCTTTGTCCCATTGGAAGTGGAAAGGAGTTGATGATGTATCGAATGTTTCTCTTCTGCATCACAAGCACCAACACACTGTCCCAACTGGTAAATACATTGAGTGAGGTGAAGATTGGTCTTGACGAGTTGACTTGCTACCTAAACTCAGACAATGAGACTGGCCGACTGGGAGAGGTACTGAAGGGCTGATGTGACCTGACGCACTGTACCACAGTGCAACAGAAGTGAGATGGAACTGAAGTAAAAATGTGAAAGGAGATCAAGCGAGGAAGGTTGGTGTCAGCAATGGAACAAAAATAAAGACTTAGGAGCTTTTGCAGATTGAGTAGCTGTAAAATTTGACCTTGGCAGGAAAACAAATGTATAGCATTCAATTTGGACAGGATGTATGTAAACATGCTGCAGCTT